ACATTTTCAAGAAGGATTTAGATGGTTTTGAGGGCTAATGGGATCAAAGGGTATGCAGTGAAAGTGAGAGCAGGACACTGAGTTGGATGATCAGCCACCGTCATATGGAATGGTGGGCCAGGCTCAAAGGGCCGAAAGACCTCCTTCTGTTCCTATCTTCAATGTTTCTATATGAATCGTTGCAAAAGTATTAACTCAGCCAGGTTCCCAAAAATTAAATTGGAGCTTTAATCAATGGCAAATGTGTTAGTGCCAGTTTTGTGTTCTTTCTAAAGTTGAATTTTATGGCCAATATTTTAAATTTAAGAACTTATCTTATAATGCTGCTGATATCTTGCAACTAAGATTAAACCACATGTGGAAGATTTCTTCACTGCTGAAAAGGGTGCAACATGAAGACAATGCTTTAATCTTGGAATTCATGCTACTTGGCTCTGCATTGCTTTATCTATTAAATATTAGTATGAGATGAGTAAGTGCAGCAAAAGGCCAACCTTAGTGATACTAACAAATGTAGATTACAGATTAATATTGTATGATGGAATCAATGTATTAAATTCATATACACTGAATTATGTCCTTACTAGTTCTTTCTTGCTGAGTCAGCCATGTGTTTGCTCCTCCTTCCTAGAATTATTGCACTTCTTTAATACTAAAAGTTCCTCACTATCCCTCTCTTTGACACTAGTTGGAAGAAAACAACCACAGCTTATAATTTAAAAATCCACCCTAAGAAAGTACCATTTTCCCACTGAAATAATATATTCATTTTCAGCAAATATTAGTGACAATGTTATAATGGTTGCATTATTCTGATTTTTGTATTCTGTGGTACAGCTTGTCATTCCTGAAGATGCTGAACTGAAGCAGGCAAGCTGTGATTTGTTAAATTCTAGGCTATCAATGAAGGTGTAATACCATCATTTTTGTTCATGTTCTTTTATTTAATACTCTGTCCTTATCAATACAAAAGTTCAGATGTTTAAAAACTGTGGGTACAGATCAAAAGCCAATGAATTGAAGAATATCCTGAAGGCTTCCTCAATCATTAACCATAAGCCATCACTTTTGAATCACCAAAAAATCAAATTAGCACTAGTTTTCAATGATCATAAAATTATCTCAATTTCTTTTAATACAACAAATGTTTCAGCTAAACAATCATATATTTTATCCACAAACATATTGAAATTTAAATCACAAGAAATGAAAATTTGCACAATAGTGATTATTAAACAGTGCAGGAATTTTTAAAGAAATGTTTGCAGATTTGTAGGAAAGTCAGTAGAAATACTTGCGTTCAGACTGGACCATCCATAGGAGCAAACCCACATGTTAAAGCATTTTTATTCATGCACATGCGGCCAGGATAAAATAAAACATGGCAAGATCTTTTAATTAATTTTGAGAGTTCCATTTCTGATCTGAAGAATCTAACAGAAAGACAATGCCTATCTCAGATGTTCTTGTCTCCATAACCCACATAAAATTGTTTGCTAATTAATGAACAGTTTATATAGAATTAATCTGTGCTAAGTTGCACCAGTGCTGGTTATCAGTGAGGCATTTTTTCTGCCTTCCTGTATAGTTTAGAAATTACTTCCACTGGTCTTAGTGTGTGAACACTTAAAGTGATTTTGTTAAATTTCATTGTATACTGTTTAAATGAAGAAATTAACCTATTTATATTAAGTCAGCTAATGCCTTCCTTATAAAAAGAGAGAGAGAATTTGGTTTGAATGCATTAAGCCTTTCTACAAGAACATTTTCGACGATAACTTTTAACCCTATCAAGAATATTTTAACAGCCTGCGCTGCTTCAACCATGATCTTAAAATTTTCACATCTTTCTTCATTTACTTCTCTCTTTGAAAATTACAATTATTATTGATGTATTCAACAATTACTTTTATTTTCTCAAACACTGAATTTCACGAGAATTTAAATTATTCATGAACAAGGATGATACAAAACAATAGGAAATAGCATAAGGAATTGCAATAGAATGAAATAGTGAATGAAACATACATGCAACTCTATTTGGAGTCTGACCAGTCTTGCATATCAATCGAATCTAAAATGAGCAGTCAGCTTATCACAGGTCTAAGCTAGTTTTTTCTACAGGGGAGAAGAAAATGGCTCTCATTTTCTTTTTGACAAAGCTTCCCTTACTGTATCACGGTAAATTTGAGTGACTGCAAGTACTATTTATGTCTTTTCATCACTGTCTTGTGTTAATCTATCATTATTATCCTGACATTCCTAGCTCCACACTCATCATCAAAATCATGGATTATAGCTGCAAAACATAACTTGTTTAATGGATAAGTAAAAATGAAATAAGTATAAATTTATGTCCTGCTCATGCCAAAGAGTTGCCATTCTAATTTTCCTTAGTATTATTGTGAGTTCTTAATAACTCACCTTACATTAAAATATCATTTTTTTTTCTCAATTTGTAAAGTTTTATATGTTCAGGTCTTCAAGCTAATCAAGGAAAATAATAGCTGCTATAATATATGTTGCAGGTCAAGGACAGAAAATGCTGAAAATAAAATACCATTTAAATGATTTTCTAAATTAGAAAGATATTGCACTATTTTATCAGAGCAGTAAACTAATTCCCTCAGGTGCTGATCAAACTGCTGTAAATTGTTAACATTTTTATTCCTGTTTTTGTACCTTCAGTTTTCACTTCCTTTTTATTTCAAATACAATAAAGTATATTGCTTAATGGGAAAATTCCCATATCCACTGGAACAAAATTTCTGTTCTAATTTGTTTTGCAATATGGTAGACAGTTTCATCACCAACTAAAAAAGAACACTAACCATGTATAATTGGCTAGCAGCTAGACTTTTGCCGCAGGATTTTATCGTAATCCATATACATTCACAACAGGTAACAAAAATCGTATAAAATTTGAACAAAATCTCATCTAGTGACACCCCTGTTTATTACCATATGCAATGGTAAATCTACTGCATATCAGGAAACCTGGGATGATATTCTATACAAGCTTTTATGATTAAAAGCAAATGGATATTTTTGGTTTGAACAATTTTTCTTGTTCATGAGGTTTTTCTTAAAACATACCAGGAGCTAGAAATCTTATGCTTAGATTGAGAAATGCCATGTAGTGATAACGTAAAACACTTTGTCGTACCTTGTAGTAATTTGGAGAATGTAGTTGCTGACTGATGTCTCAAAGTTTATTTTTAACAATAAGTAATTTGCTTTGCTATCTTTTCATATACAACATCCTTGAATCTGTGAAGGTAGCAGGCAATGTCTGACATTGTTGAGACGAGAGAAGGAAAACTGATTGTTAAATGTTTGACCTTTCCTTTAGCCATATCAAGTAATCACTGAAATTGTAAAACATTTCCCTTATTGAAATGATTTACTTCTGCCATACTATTGGGGTTACCTTCAAAAATGATTTACCTAGTTAAAATAAAATGAAATAAAGGCAAAACTGAATGTTAGCGTAAATCACTTTAAAACCTTCCTGTATCATATTCCTTCTGCAGTAGTCAGCCTCTGCAAAAAATATGCTAATTGATGCACTTAACAGAGATGTCAACCTATGGGAGGAGTCTTCAGCAGTAGGAGAGGAAAATAAATATGACTAATGAAATAACTCCACAGAGGCTGGTGTCCTGTCACCTAGTCACCCTTTGTTTACACGTGGAGATTCCTTGTCACTGATCAAGCTCCCTCAGAACCAGCTCTCAGAGTGAACAGGATGTTTGGCACTCCTGTTTTTATCTGTCAGCCAGGACTCCCTGATTGGACCGGATTAACAGCCCCAATCAGGGAACTCATATTCCATGTGGTCCTCCTGGCTGACCTCGTTACAATCACTGCAACTAAAATCACAGCATAGTGAGGCTCAGTGCTGGCCAAAGAGTTAAAACAAAAATTCCTGCAATCACTCACTATTATGAACAACACTTGCTTTATAATTTCTTTATAATTTTTTTAACCTCTGCTTTGGAATTCAAAAGGATTCAGAATTTTGGGGTTAATGACAGGAAACATGTTGGGGATGGTGTTTCCTTTTTATTGCCATGTTCCTTTCATACGTAATTATTTTCCACAATCATCCCAAAAGGACAATCCTAAAAGGGAAGTATTGAAGTGGCTCCCCGCTACAATTCCTGCACCCCGCCCTTTCCAAAACTGTCCTGGAAAATCTGGTTCAATGCTTTAAGTCAGAATTTACTTACGGACATTCATATTAAATTTTTGGGGCAACCTAACCCATCTGTCGGTAAGCTGATGGATTCAGATACAATGTCACCTGATTTTACTCTCCATGGAATTGAAGGAGAGTAATATTGTGGAAGATGTAAAACTAGCATTTTACTCCTTCCTGAGGGTTTCCTGATGGGCAGATTACTTTAAAATTAGTCCTTAAATTCAATAATAATGTTTTATTAATAATATGGCCCCTGAATCTGCTTGCTATGTGTTGTTAATGCAAACATATACTTTTAAATTCACTGGCTCATTTAATGTAACTCACACTTCCCATTCAACAAAACAAAACTAGGTGTAATTTGTACATGATCAGTCAGATCATGCAATTGCTGTAACACACGTAAAGCCAAGACCACATTACAATTTCAAACATCACTCAAACCTAAAAACAAGGTTTGACAATTAAAACATGCTGATATCAAAATAACTTTATCCCAATACTATACGAGTATAATTTCTGTTAAGATTCCTTTACAGAGCCACATTAATTTCTCACGGGCTAGCTGTAAAAGAGGTACATGTGATTTTGTTACATTTAAACTACTGAGAATATATGTTTTAAAAAATTGTTCCACAGTTATGGCCATGGAAATCCAACAAGCATACAAATTAGATAGAATTTAAACCTGATGAAAGTTTCTCCCTTGCAGGTCACAAATGTAATCTCCAACAAAAATGAAGTAGCTCCCACATAAGATAGACTATCAGTCTTAATATATTGTACATCTTTTCTTCTGTTGTTGCTCAAGGTAACACTTAATTCGAGATTCCAGCCAGTCCATTGTCATTGATCACCATGACTCCTTCAGTTTGTTTTAACTGCAAAATACAAAATGGACAAATGAGGGCATGTTTTAGTCAAGGCACCACTTACTAAAAGAAGATTTGTGAAAAAAAACCCACAAATTTTAATGAAAACCATTAAAACAATATTCACTGTTTTCAAAAATAAATATTTTGTCCAAATAGAGAAATGCAGTCAAACACTTTGATATAGATAAACTAGTAAAAGCCACAGTTAGATATTATAAATATGTTGCTTGAAATGCTTGTTCACACATTTGACAGAAAAGCTACATCTGACTGCTTCTCTTGATGGTATAAAGCTGTTCATATAGCTTTTTGCCTTCTGTTAATCAGTTTCAATCACTTTCTTAACAGCCATCATTTCCTCTTCTCAGAAGCATAGGTAATGAACAAAAAGCTGAGCATTAAAGTCTTTCTCACTGTTTTTAACCTACTCTTCATCGTACAATAATGAGAATCTTACTGGGGTCTGAACAATGTGGGCTATGATGAGAAATGTAGTGACTACAACAGAACTCCAGCAAGGCCAATAGTAACATTGGGAATCATTTTTAACTACATTCTAGGTGTTGAGGTGAGATTCTCACTAAGCAGTGATGGGTTACTTATTAAGAGGAGTTATTTGCTTCCTAACTGCGGATCTCACCTCATTAATATGTAGCTTTCTACTGTTCTGCCTGTTGTCCGCAAATAGATGTCAAGAATTCTCAACATAAAAGTTAGAGAAGGGGTCTAGCACCTTCAGCTCACTACTGGTTGCAAAGGGCCTCTGTGTTGATCACCATGCAATACTATCTCAGGGCACGCTCCATGGGTGCTGGCAAATGCCCCCCAGATCCATGGCCACTGGCATTTGACATGTGCCAGCCTGTAAGTACTCTCATGGCACATCTCCACTTACAGTGCACTTCTGGAATTTAACGTTGAACTTTGAGGCACAATGGTAACAATCAATGTAATGCTGTAGCAAGTACACTTTGAGCTCAGGGATGCATATCCTGCTCATGGACTGGAGTAGGCTGCATGGCCAGCATGTTTCGTTGCTCTTTTAGCGCTCACTCACTTTGGGCCCACCTAGTGCTCACAGCATCCCTCCCTTGAATCGTCTTGTCTTTTTGAACCTTGCCTCTGAGCCAGTTCTCCAATCCAGGACAAAAAAAAAATCAAGAGAAAATTCAGACAAGAGTAGCAGCCACAAGATGTTCACTGAAGCTTTCAACTCTTTTGAGACCCCAATAGCCTCTGCCTAAAGCTAAACCCAAAAACTCAAAAAAAAGCCTGGTCTGTGAGAGCTGGCTACACACAGGCTGCTTCCATTGGCTCAACTTTAAAAAAAAACCCAAGCCGTCACAAGCTGTTTACTCCATCGGTCTACAGTAGCCTCTGCCTCTGCCTTACAACCTCTCTTCAAAAAAAAAACCCAGGACAAAATAATCTCTCGAAAGCCACAGCGTTGTCACAAGAAACTGTTGCCACTCATAAAATGATCAAGAGTGATAGAGCACAGATTGGTTTTCAAAAGTAGCAAATACAATGTGAGGGAATGTTTTCACACAGTGGATGCCAAGAAGTTTGATAGGAGACAGGTCAAATTGAGGCATTTAAGAAGACATTAGATGTTTATGTGAATAGGGCCAACAGGATATGGAGAAAGGGTGGAAACACAGCATTAAGTCACAATGCTCTTGCGGATAGCCACTGCAGACACAATGGGTTGAATGGCTTTCCTCTGCACAATGGAAATGCTGTGACTCTGCCAGTTTTATTAGCGTGTTGTTAACAGTCGTGACACCAAGACCTTAATAAGTAATTGGAAGCCATGCATTTATCTTGATGACAAGACCAATTTACACTAACATGGAATGATGGTTTTCCAAAGGGCTAGTGCTCACACCAGCCATTTTCTGCACCAGTCCCCAAATGTTGTTCTAATCACATGGCATAGTACTACTGACACAGGCATAAACACAAGTCGGATGGTAGCCAATGAGCTGTCCTTACTGCAATGTTTCTTCTAGATGTGATGCCTTAACCTCAATCCAGAGACAGTTTTGTCTGTTCCATTTGAAGGACAACACCTTGGGGAACTTGGGGAAAGTATTCAATGTTTCTTCCTGTGCAAGGGAACTTACTCATGGTTCCCATCGAAAACAGTTTGCTCTCGTTCTTTCGGGGACTCTCAGCTGTTGACATTGTATCATCAAACCCAGCCAAAAAGTAAATATTGTGGCAATCTTGTCTAGAAACTCATTGGAATATCACAGGGGAGCAAGCCACAATACTTCATATTGCAACAGTCATCCTAATTTACTCTGCTGCCAAATGCTGCCCCATTGCCCAGGCCTGCAGAAACTCCACAGAAATTGTGGATGTGCAGCTATACACCAGTTGAGGACATGGTTAAGGATATTTATGTCCAGTTTAACTAAGTGGAGCCAATGCAGTCCCAAACACATTCCATTCACCACAATGCCATCGTGCCTTTCAAAGAAACTTGCAATATCAGCTGGAAGCTCTTGAAGTCATGCCAGTCATTCAGAGAAACAGCAACCAATATTTGTGCAGCTTCTATCAACCCACTGTACAGGTGGATGTTGTTATGGGAAGCATAAAACATAAAAAAGATCCACCTTATAACTGAGCTGATAGCAGAAATCCCTGGCTGAAGACAAGGTACAATACTCAACCCAATTGCTCAGGCATGAACAATGTGGTCACCAGCTGCACTTGGAAAAATGAGCAAGGACCTGAGGTGTGACTGTAGCTGTGAAATCCATGCAACGTATCACATGACCTTCCAACTAAGTTCTTTTGTAGAACATCATTTTCCGATTAGCATTTACAGAGATCAGCAAATGGATTACCAGACTAAATCTCCAATTTTAACATAAGATTGTATTAGTAATTGCAGAGAAAATGGGCAACTCAACAAAGTAATGAATGAAAATATTAACCTGTTAATAATGTAGTGTAATTTCATCTTAGTTGAATTTAACAATATTAAAACATACAAGGAGCTTTAAGTTCAGTATGAGACATACACAAACCTATGATTATCAACTCATCACTTCAAATGTACAACATTTTCATTTAGGTGAAAATCAACCATCCTTTTCATAGTTAATATCAGTTCAAATTTTCAGTGAGTTATTCAGCTCGAAGGCTACACTTAGTCCTTGTCTGTATTTAGTCTAAACTTAGATGTCATGCTATTTATTTTTAATAAGCTTTAAATTCAGAGTTTTCAGAAATCTAAATGACAGTTTCTCTCAACTCACCTGCAGTTTAAGTATTGGCTTCTTCCATTAGATTGTTACATTTGGCTAAGACTGCACCACACAATTATTTAATGGAAAATCTATGGGTAATAAACAGCCTTGCCAGAATCAGCCCATAGCTGAAATCAGATTTTACACACTTATGGCCAGTCAAAAGACAAACCTGGACTGAGGTTCCACAGATACTCACTTTGTTTGTTAAGTGTAACATCAGTCTAAAATACAGGAGTGACAGCATAAGAGAATAAAGTGAGAAAGTGTGGAAGCACTTGCTCCAGTCCTGAGGAATGATCATCATCCTGAAATATTGGACTTGCATTGACAGAGGTGGGAAGCAGAAGCTTGGGTTTCCCCTCTTGCCACAGAGTTTTAATTCTGTTGTGTGTACCCATTTAGCGTTTTAGGATTGCTGATTGACAAGCTTGGCCCCATATCGGATGGAAAGCATTTTGGAACAACCCATGGCCCTGTGGTGCAGCCTTTGAGAGTGTATATTCCATTCTTCCGCTTCCTCATCTTCTGCTCCCAATTCTAGAGACCATTACATTTCAAATAAAAGCAAAATACAGCAGATGCTGGAAATCTGAAACATATATCCTGATATATATGCCTAATATATCTCTCAGCACAACAGACCCATTTTCTCTTTTTCACACCTTCATTTCCCAATTAATGTCTCTATCTCTTCTTTATCACCATTAGCATTCCCTTTCTCTGTTGCTCTGGGCACTCTCACAATCTGTTCCATTCACTCCTCTTCCCCCTCTGTCATCAGCATAAAGATTATAATTTCCAATCCCTTTCAGTCTGAAGAAGAGTCATAATGCCCTTAAAACATTATTGCTGGTTCTGTCTCCACAGATGCTGCCAGACCCATTGACTTTCTCATAGAATCCCTACAGTGTGAAACTGGCTATTCAGCCCAACGGGTCCATACTGAACCTCCAAACAGCATTCCATCCTGACTTACCCCCCTAAACTATCCCTGTAACCCTGCATTTCCCATGGCTAATCCACCTAACCTACACAGCCCTGAACACTATGGGCAATTTAGCATGGCCAGACCACCTAACCTGCACGTCTTTGGACTGTGGGAGGAAACTAGAGCACCCAGAGGAAACCTGTACAGATATGGGGAGAATGTGAAAACTCCACATAGACAGTTGCCCTGGGTCCCTGGTGCTGTGAGGCAGCAGTCCTAACCACTGAGCCACTGTGAGCCACCGTGCTGCCTAGCACTTTCTATACTTATTCCATCTGCAAGTACATTAAGAGCAATAGAGCACCTAGAAACAGAATACAGTCACAGAATCCCTACAGAGTTGGAAGAGGCCATTCAGCCCAACAAGTCCACACTGACCCTCCGAACAGCATCCCACCCAGAACCATCCCCCTTACCTATTCCTGCAATCCTGCATTTCCTGTGGCTAATGCACCTAACCTACACATCTCTGAACACTATGTGCTACTTAGCATGGCCAAGCCACCGAACTTGCACATTTGTGGACTGTGGGAGAAAACTGGAGTACCCGGAGGGAACCCATGCAGACACGGAGAGAATGTGCAAATTCCAGACAGTTGCCCGAGGGTGGAATCAAACCCAGCTATCCACTGAGCTACCATGCCGCAGGCCCCTTAAAGATCAATGAAGTCATCGATGTGTTGAAACTCAGGAGACGAGAGAGATACCCCCTTAAAGATCAACAAGGTCATCGATGTGTTGAACCTCAGGAG